TGACTTTCATCACTTTTTTTTCCAGAGAAATTCTCAACTAAAAAACCATCTGGCTCAAAACACACCCAGATATATAAACCGTGAAGCACTTAGTCCCATAATTATGTACACATTTTATAAGTACACGCCCCCCTGGCGAAACGATGTAATTGCACACTTCGCATTGGGCGCGATGGAAAGTGTGGATGACACTTTCACTTGCTTTGACACGCGCCAAGGTCACCATGGTGATCGCGGTCGCTTGACTTCAGATCCCTCGATCTCTTGCTATGGGGGTTTGTTAAGTCGCGCGAGTGCATGCTTGAAAATCTTCCGACGCATTTGTATTTAAAATGCTGAACATGTTAGAAGAAAAGAAAAACATGTAGGAACAGGGAAATAATTATGAAACGCATTCAACGAGGAAACGAATCGATTTGTGTGATTGACGTCGAAACACAGCACGAAATACAATTGAATATTGCAAAATAAAAGCAAAAAATATTGTATTACAAGCAATCATTGATTTTATGTAAATATGCCATTTTGCCTCATACTATCCGCATCACACCAATCGCAGGGTTTGCACTCGAAAGATAATCGGGTAGGAGATCAGCTCAAGGGTAGAATGTCAGAAGAATCCAAAGTAATGTTCTAATGGTAACCCGGAAGTTTCAAGACTCTTGTCTTTCGGGAGATGATACGATAGAAAAAGGACGTTCACAAATCTTTGCTTTCATGAAAGCTGTCTCTCTTGGGGGCATTTTGGGAGATGTATCCCAGGTATCAAGAACAGCTCAAATCCCGCATGAACTTATTCCAGGAGCTGTGCATAGGCACCAGGAGGGATACACTGGACATGACAGCACCGTGGAGCAAAAAACATTCAGATCACACGGTATATACCAATGCGGAGTGAAACCGTGGGCTTACCCCTGCTAACGAAGCTTCAATTTTTCAAAAATAATACTTTTAAGGTGAAGGTTGAAGACAAGTAAACTTTGGTAAAAACTATTCTTTCAATTTAGTCTTCTCGAAACAGCCTACGGAACACCTTAAAGTTTCTCCTAAGCTCTCGTTTGAAGTAAGGGTGAGTCAGGGTATATATGTAAGGGTCGATGGCGCTGCAGAGTTTGCAAATTATGGCCGGGATCATGGACGACGCCGGGGATATTATCCCTTTCATGTCCATTATGCCAAAGAGGCTTATGCAGGCATAGGGAGTCCAGCCCAGAAACCAGAGGGCAACCAAGGTGACTACGGTCTTGAAGATCTTGCATTCCTGCTGTCGCTTCAATTGCTTCTTAGGGTCCCCAGAATCCACTTCCTCGTAGTTTTTGCTGAACATCCACAGAATCCCGACGTAGCTGGAAATGATGATGATGAAAGGGAGAAACCAGGCCCCAATGAAGAAGACGAGGATGAAGGTGATGTTGACGAGATCCGTAGCCAGATAGTTGAAGCTGCAGGTGGTGAGATATCCTTCTGGGACGTACAGGATGCCTGGCACCACCAAAGGGATGACGCTGAATACAAAACCGTAGAGCCAAAGCAGGGTGATGCAGAGGATCCTTTGCCACCGCGGGAGGACCAGGGCAGGCCACGTGAACTGGGTTCTGGGTCTCCAGCAGTTCCGGATCCCCAGGAACCTCTCAAGGGAGATCGTCGATAGTGTGGCAATGGACACCGTTCCGGACAGTCCTCCGATAAATCCAATTGCCGAACAGCCTAAAGAAAAACAGATGGAAACATTATGACATGTTAACAAGAGAAAATCTTTCATTTTTCAGTATCTAACTGGCAGATGAAACAATCCTCTAGTATACAGGGTGACCCAAAAAATATCGCCCATTTTAAATATCCTTGAAAATGATTGTTTTCAAGTTATTACAAAAATTTCTTCCCTGGAATGTAAAAAAAAAACAGGAAATTTATCTCTTAAAACGACACAAACATAAGTTACATATTGCACACTCAATTTCAGCATCTTAAAGCATGTTCGATCCAGGCACCTCGACGCTGAATCATTGCTGCGACCCAGACATTGAAGTTATTAATTACCCTGTCTGACATTTCTGCCAGAAAAAAAACTCGCCTGATTGGAATACACTCCCCTTCAAGTATCACGCAAAGAATCTAATCTGGAGGGGACAGATAACATTTGGCTGCCAAACTCCCCCGATCTGCCCCGATCTGCCCCGATCTGCGCCGATCTGCCCCGATCTGCGCCGATCTGCCCCGATCTGCGCCGATCTGCCCCGATCTGCGCCGATCTGCCCCGATCTGCGCCGATCAAAATGCTAATTGAGAAATCCACAGGCGAAAAAAAATTATCCCAGTTTCTTTCTCTGATATATTTGTCGTTGTGTCTTCGTTCATCTCTTGAAAGCAACGGGAGCATTAGCCACGTCGATGTCGCCCGACCCGATCCACGTTTTCATTCGAGATGAACCTGCATCAGGCTTCCAAGAAACGCAGGTGGATCTCCGTGCGACGCTTCCAGAGAGGCCCCAGCTGCCCCGCGAACGCTATCCGAAGAGGAAACTCGGTCTGTCTCTGGAGAAAATCCGGAAATATTAAGAGGGGAAAACCTCACAGCTGCGGCTCCTATTTCCCAATCTCCATGGGTATTTCCACCATATCACGGATTCAGGTCTCACGCGTGTTGCGCCTGATGAACCTTCGAAAGAGTTGGAAGCTATCATCGGACCGGGAAATGAGTTCCTTTATGAATCGGACAATGCTCGAACGCGCATAAGGATAAGGATGCATGAGGATAAGGATGCATGAGAATAAGGATGCATGAGGATAAGGATGCATGAGGATAAGGAAGCATGAGGATGAGGATGCATAAGGGTGATTCCTCCAATACACTCCATTACCTCCCTACAGTCCCCGGTTGAACTATAGAGTTGAGTTCCTCTACATTTAAAGCAAAGTTGTAGCAGGGATGACCGAGACAACGAAATCAAATTTAAATAATCGGTTGAGAGTTGATTCGCAGTGTCTCACTCGCCTCATGCAGAAACGCAACGGATAGTTCAATGCGTCAACGAGGCGCCGTCGGTCAAAAATCCCTTTCGTCGAATGAAACTTTTTTTTCTGGATTTCTCTTTGCCCTATGTGGCTTCGAAGTGTTTCTTCGTTTCTTCGTCCGGACCCAAGGAAGACTGAAAACCCAGGCGAAACAGCCAGTGAGCGCCCACCTGTTTAACCCATCCGCATCCAGTGACTTTTCGACCGATCTGACAAAAAATTCTATCGTGGCGTGAGGCGTGAAGTCCACCGGCCTATGCCGTTCCAGGCCATAGGCTGGTGGACACGGACCTATAGGTACTAGTTCGGAGTACCTCTTTACTGCATGGTGTGCCAGGTATGGCAAGCTCTGCTTTGCATTGAAACGCATTGCAATGCCATGGAAAAACCAATATGAAAGGATAATATTTTCATTACTTTTCTCAACAAAATGAAAAAATATGATCGTCAAATATATTTTTGGTACATTAAAAAAAAAGCAATGCATTGTAGAGTTAAAGGTCTTCAAGCTCTTATCTCTTAGCCTAATATGCTTAACGAGCGAGGCCTATTAGGCTACGTTACTACAGGCCATAGGCTTAGCCATACGTCTACTGATACGGAGCGGTTCATCATGCGAATTGCCTCGTCGACAAGTATGCCTGAGGATCAGCACGCATTCAATTCTCCGATCCTCGCTCGAGGCAACTGCAGGGGCAACCAACCTGCACTCGATCGCCTCGATGGAATTGCGGGCTCGCTAGGGAATCCCTAGGAGTTCATCATCGTTCAGGATTTCGTTGTTGGCAATTCTTTGAGCTGGGAGCGAACGAGAGGGGAACTAGGCTTTCGTGAGGCCCAACCAGGCACTCCGCCCAACTGCGATGAATTTCTCTCTTTTGAATTCAGGCGCATTTCGAGCGACCTGAGCGATTTGAGCGCATGCGTTTCAGATTAATTTCCCCTTTTGGCAAAACAAAGTGGAGAAATTGATTTCTTTCGAACCTCGTTCTTGCGAATCCCATCATGATCAAGAAGAGGGAATAATTTGCACGTTGATGCATTAGTTAATTCTGCAAGTCTTTGGGGGACTCTGTGGAAGATGGTGGATTCCTAGAGTTTCTTCATGTACTTTTCTTTTACAGTTGGATATAATGCACTAATAATCCGCTGCTTTCCCCCTTCTTTGCCCAGCGCTCAAGAGAATCGTCAAACTGAGAAGGGGAAAAAGCACAACGAGATTAAACAATGAAAGAGAGAGAGAGAGGGAGCACGCGGAAAATCCGATCGATCTTAATCCATTAATCTCGCGTTTAAGTCGGCCGGGTCCATGCCGGAATGTGGGCCGCTTTAGGTTACGTCGCGGGTCACCTTTATCGGTGGCCCATGTTTACGGAAAACCGTGCCGAAGGAAACGCCATGGGTGAGAGGGAAAAAACTGGGCATTTCCATGAAGGGATCCGCGATCCGATCATCCATGGATCATCCGCTCGATCATCCCACGACTTGATGCCATCCACTTCAGCTTCAGACATAATCCCCTCTCCACTCGATGGCCTGTCATTACTGTGAATGCTTCCGCGCATTCCAGCTTAAAGTGAAGAATTCCCGCGATTCCTCGCGAACTTTCGGCGAAGATGTGATCCTGTCGCATTCTTGATCATGGAGACCTTTCATGATCATGATCATTATGATTTTTTCATGATCATGATCATTATGATTTTTTCAGGATCATTATCATGATGATTTTTTTATTATCATTATCATGATGATTTTTTATTATCATTATCATGATGATTTTTTCATGATCATTATCATGATGATTTTTTTATGATCATGGAGATGGATGGATGCTTTCGCGACCTTTGAGCCTAAAGGAGGGCGTCCTGCGATTGCTTTTCCGAGAATCGCGATCCTTCCAATAACTCTAGGTGTTTCGCGCGAAGGTTGAATCTCATCTTCGCATCCTGGCAGCAGCAGAATGAATGAAAAATGATACCGCTATCTCAATCTGTCGCGAGATGGCGGAGATAGCCCCGGGCAAAGCTGTGGGCGTTGGGGATTTCTGTATCATCGGCGTTATGGGAGGTTTTCCTACCCGGCATCGGCTCACCTGGGACGGCGAGGACGGGACCCTCGTGAAGCGAATTGACGACGATGATGGGGATGGTGAACATCATGAGGAGGTCGCTCACGGCCAGGTTCAGCAGGAAGGAGTTCGTCTTCCTCGACAGGTCCTTTGACCTAGGAGGCGGGGGAGGAGGAGACCCAGAGCTGAACAACAAAATCAATTTTCTTCCCCAACCGGCGAAACGCAGGAAACGGTTGGATATGAAATATCGTCTCCGCTGAGATATTCGACTGATTACCCATTGGATCCGATTTTTCCCCCCGGTCACGTTCTCGACGAATATTCCATTACAGAAGTAAAAAAAAAATTGTCGGGCACCTCGTCATTTTTTTAAGGGGCCGTGACTCGAATAAAAAATAAAAGGGAAGAGTTAAAGAAAGTACTAAGTCTGCCAAAAGATTGCGAAGTCTCGCTTTGCTATTGATTCAGGCGCCTACAAAGTTTGAACCTTGCACGAAGACATACAAGGTCCTTCCTTTTGAACGTTGATAGCTCTTGAATGCTGCATCCATTGAGATCCAGTTTAGACTGTTAGAAAGACACTTTTAAAAAAATTCCCTGTTTCGCGTTTCCGTATCTTCTTGCCGATCGAATATTGTTTTTTTTTTCTGAGCAATAAAATAAATCCCCTTTCGGTTGGTTCTTTTTTGGTTCGCATGTCAACACATCTTGCGTGCAGATCCAACTGGTGTAGTTTATAATAACAAACAATTTTAAATGACCGAGAAACGAATACAGAGAATTACAACGGCGTGCAGGAAATGCACAGCTTCGTCCGGTATAGAGAGCGAACGCCTCAAGTCGATCGCCCGCAATAATCCGAACCAGCAGAACCTGCCTCTCTCCTTGCGTCCACAAACTGGTCGCCCTGAAGAAAATCGGAAATAATCGACATGTCGGTTTCTCAGTCGCTTCGAAAGACTCGCGACGGCAAAAGTTTCCGTTTGAGGGTTAAAATACATATTTAAAAACATGCACTGTTTTGCATATTTATTGTTACTTTGCACTGTTCCAATTAAATAATTATTCTCTATATGGGGATTATGCCAAAGAAAATCCCGCTATAATTAGGTTTCCTGGTAATGAAATGTCATTGCGTTGGCGAGAAAATGGATTCTCCGTATCCATTTCTTCGCTTTCCACTGACGGCTACTGATCTCGTGCCAGAAAAAGTCTTACAAGAATTGCTTCATCGCTCGCTTTGATCAAGCCTGTGTTTCTCACGGAAAAATGAATAAAAATTTCCGTCTGCAACGCCTGTCCATAATAAGAAACAGGCTGTGTGCAAACCTGACTCAAACGCGACTGACGACAGACACCGGACTCCCATAAGATGGCAGGCAGGCCGATGGGGAACCGTCATTAGAAAGTTTAATTTCCTCTCGCTGAAGGACAGAATTTTTCCTTCCACGACAGAGGAATTTTCGGTGTTGCAGGGAGAGAAGTAATATTTCCATCGAATCCCTCCGTGCAGTCAGGGAAAAATGGAAGGACGCTTCGTCAATCTCTCGCAAGTCGACTGCTGCAAATTGATCCCAGACTGGTTATATCCCTCCTCTGCATTTCGTGCGCGAAAGGGTAATCCATCTGTCTCTTGGACAGATAACAATCAAGAGGTCATCTGGAAATTGGAATCAATGGAAACGTACTAAACAATTCAATTAAATTGGGTGTTTCACACATCTAAAATTGATCTGTGTAACTCATGGAGATTAGATATGCATGAAATTAATATCAGTTTAACTTATTATTGATATACTAGGGGGGTTAAGATGAAAAGGGGACAATGGCTGTTACTCATTCCTAAGGGTAACCTAAGGGTAGCCTTAGATAGGGGATTTAAAAAGTCTCTTCATTATAGTACATTATTTACTGCTAGGTCGTGAATGTAATGGATTAAATCAAGCTGCCTCAAGCGCCTCTTTATTTAAAGAATTCTCAACAAAGAAATCATACCTGATTGTGAGGTAGAGGACGGCGCCGTTGCCCGCGACACCGAGGAAGAAGATGATCGCGTAGAGGACGGTGACCACGGCGTGAGCAAAGCTGGATGGAGGTGGATACTGGAACCAATGCGCCTCAGTTCGGGCGAGGATCTCCAGTCCCATCGCGGCTATTCCCTCCCAGGGGGCAGCCGGGAGGATCTCACTCAGGTTCTGCTTCACCATCTTCGCGCTTAGGTATCGGAACAGTCTATAAAGAAAATTTAGGATGTAGACCATGACTGCTTGATAGACACGTAATTTTGTTTAGATAGCTTTCGATTTCTCTGTCGCCTATGCCTCATTTCGATTACAATCACATATGTTAATAGTGATTTTGCAATTTTAATATGATATTATAATGTTCTTATTACGTTTTCATTTCATATTCCCATCCCAATGCGACTGGAGTTCCCTGCGATTATGAGTTGTCGATAGAGGTAATGTTAAGCCGTAATGCAACTTTTCTCTCTCTTTACTTGTCTCTTCACTTCCGCTCGCTTTTCGAGCAATACCCTTTCATTTGGCATGGAAAATGCAGGAAAGTTGTCCTGTGCAAAAAAAATTTTATTCTCAAACTTTCGCATCCGATGATGAAAGCCGTTCCGTTCAGCCTCGAGTTAAGCAGCTTAATTTTATCTATCAGAAAGGAAAAGGTTGAATTTTTGCTTTTCTTTCCTTCAATCATTGAAAAGTGAATTAAATACTTGGTGTCCATGAAATGTAAATGAGAGGACAGGAGAGTGAATCACCTGCCAAGCGTTCCCCCTTCGAGCCAGAACTCTGCATGATCCATACTTATAATAAATTCAAGTCTCTGACCTATTTTGAGCGGGGAATTCCATGTTCAAAGCCGGTGGAGCGCTGGGAAGGTCGGTCGGCACGGATTTCTTCCTTGAAGACGCTATGGGGAAGGGGAGAATGGGGAGGGGTCGGCGGAAGGAAAACCATAAATGAACCGTAAATCCATGCTAATCCGTTTTGTACATTTTAATCGATTTATTTTCTGAGGATATAAACTTAAAATAAATGAAATATAAGCAACATTTCTCCCGTCGTGATTAGGTTTTTTTGCCGCGCGAAACAGTGGTATGCGAGGTGTTCGTTATGCGAAACACGATTTCCCATAGACGTCTATGGAAAATCATGTAATCCGTTCCACGTCGCCGCGAAAAATCAAGGAAATTAGGAGAAAATGTTTCACTTTCACTCGCGAACACCTCCCATAACGAACGCACCGCTGGAACGAATTGCGTTCGTTATGCAAGGTACCACTGTATTGCAAATCCAAGATCTTTAATCGTTGTCGCGAATTTCGGGCTGGCATGGACATTCGGTCGATCGCGAATGGAGCCTCATTTCCTTTTTCTTGGATTCCCTCTCCGCAGCTAATCGCAGAAGGGATAAAGGAAGGACACGAAAGCCATTTCGCACTTTCTTAGAAAGAAAACCGTGTATTATACGAAACCCCTCATTAGCTCGCCATTCCTCCCTGATTGCTTCTCCCACATTCTCCTGGAGGAGAAACGGGTGCATTTCGAGGCCTGTCCGAGACACTCACGTTGGCCCAGCTCCAATTAGACTCTGCCGGAATTCCACACGTGCGACGTGGGCCTCGCGTTGGGAGCCAACGTTGGTCCCCCGTGGGCCTGTCCCGCTGCTCCACGTTGGGCCTACGTAAAACGCTCGCGTGCGACATGCGACATGCGACATGTGACAAAACCTCTTTATTTTTACACTAGCGTGAAAGTCCGTGCACACCATTTCGCTTTTTCTCCTCTAGTTTCGTCGGCCCTGGAAGCACAGTTGGCATGACAAAAACGTATGTTACCGACAATGCCTCGTACTCACCTTGTTGGTTGTGAGCCCGATGGGAAGGCATTCGGTACAATGCTATTCATATCGCCGAGATTTGACCCTATGATGTCAACATTGCACTTTGGACCTCTGACCCAATAAATATTTGTCCTTTGACCAAATAAATATTTGACCTTTGACCCCATAAATATTCGCCTCGCCTCCACGCCATAAGCTTTCGATGGAAACCCATCGGATCCAAACGAGACACACCGAACGAATTTAGAACTCCCAAGAATCAAATGAAGAAGGCGGGATGGTTCCCGTCATCATAGACTCCCAATTTCCCTTATACAATTTCAAAACGAGTTTTGTCTCATAGGATTTGAAAGAAACACCTTTCGAATTTCAAAGATACAAGCTTACGACCAATAATAAATGATGCGTTCCGCCATTAGGGAAATCCCAATCTCCTGTGTGCAAATTGTTCAGAGTTCTGCTCCGTAACCCACAAGTGAGACCTGTCGCTCTTATTTCAAACGGATTGGCTCGATAGAACTGCTCTGATTCATCTGATTCAGTTGGTTCATCTGATTCATCTGGCTCAGTTGGTTCATCTGATTCATCTGGCTCAGTTGGTTCATCTGATTCATCTGGCTCAGTTGGTTCATCTGATTCATCTGGCTCAGTTGGTTCATCTGATTCATCTGGCTCAGTTGATTCATCTGATTCATCTGGTTTAAATGTCGTGTAGGTCGGTTTGCAGACGAGTGCGGGAGGTCAAAATCGTAAGGATGGAACATCATCCATCACTCTCCTGAATCATGTCACGCTCTGGAGGAGAGTGTCAAGGAGGATCCCCAGGGTTATCTCTCAAAATTGCATCCTCCGAGATATCGAGATCTGGAATCGTCCTCGACCCGTGGGGTCAGGCTTGAAGCATCCCCTTACGGGAATGTCCTATAGGAAACCTATTGACTTTCCTATAGGTTTTTGAAACACGAAAAACCTATAGGATTCCTATAGAGCAGGGCTTCCAACCTTTTTCACGCGCGACCCCATAAATCACGATCATACCATTCAGGACCCCAAGAACAGGCCTAAGTTCGACAGACTCTCCTCACCTATGTACTAAAATCGTAAAGAAAAACTTAACTTGGTTTTTAGGTGCCGGTTCGCGATCCCAAATAGGGTCGCGACCCTAGGTTGGAAAGCACTGCTATAGAGTCATATAGGACTCCTGACCTATAGGATTTGGGGAGGATTTTTTTGTGCTTCGAAACCCAGGCATTATGACGGAAAAGGCGACCGGGATTAATAATGGCGCAGGATTTCGGTGTAAATCAATTACCGATTAGGGGTTTTCTATCGGTAGGGGCACTTGCTTAAGTAATACTGCCCAGGTCTACATAATTTATGGCCCGGCCTCCTTATCTCGCTGGATTGCGCGTCCACTTCCTTCGGTAGAGAGAGGTATCATTATTCTCTCGACCTGCGAGCACGCATCGTTTCTGAAACTCCATTACAATAGAGTCTACGTATTCTCGTACGTGATTTTCAAAGGGAATATGGGCATATTTCTTGCCTGGACGCCATGATTTTATCTGGAAGATGGGGATGACAAATGAGGAAGTGTCGAAGTTTATTGATTGATACAATGAGGGAAGGCGAGACATTTGGGGATCTACAAAACTCTCTTGCGAGAGATTATTCCATGGGTAAGGGGAGGGCATTTTTGTGTCCTTCGAGAAATGCGAGAACCTAATACCTCCATCTAGTGGCCAAGAGGAGAACTTCAAACGGAACCCTTCAGGCCTATAGGGTTCCGCATAGGTCATATAGGGAACCCTATAGGTCCTATAGGTTCTAAAGGGAGACCTATAGGATCTATAGGGAACCCTATGGGCCCAATAGAGAATCCTAAAGGTCCAATAACGAACCTAAAGTTCCTATAGGGAATCCTATAGGTTTTATAGGGAACCCTACTGGTCCTATATAGAATCCTTTGGGTCCTATAGGGAACCATATAGGTCCCAAACTGAACCCTATGGGGCCTATAGGAACCTATGGGATTCCTATATGTTCCTATATGTTCCTATATGATTCCTATATATTCCTAAAGGAATATATAGGAATCCTATGAGACATTTTCGTAAGGGTCCTCCGCAGCTACCAGGAGACTCCCTGGTTCAAAATCTTTACTAAAAAAAAAGCTTCGAGGAATTCGGTTTTTCCGCACTTCGTCGGTGGGAGAGGCTCAGGGACCGCAGTGGGAAATACTGGAAACTTTGAGCGAATACTTGATACCACTGAAATAGTGGCTATTTCAACGCCAGCTCGTTCATTGGTGGGAATCTTATCGGTTCGAATAACTGGATTGGGAAAATGTTGGCTGCCGACACTCCCCCTCAACGCCAACGTGGGCCCAACATAGTGTGCCGTTTGGGTGTGGTGCCACGTGGTTGGTCGGCTGGAGAGAAAAGAATTCCATTTCAAACTGGCTTAGAAAACAATCGAAATGAAAAATTCGGAATCGATCTTCCGCGTTTACTTGGTTTCAGCCAATCTGGAGAGAATAACAAGCTATTTCGGGATTTGAAATACTCATCTGATGGTCTTCTCTCTCGGAAATTATTTTTTATTTTCTCATTCCTCGTTTCTTCCATCCTGTTTTCATCGGGTCCGGTGTAAGCAAGCCATGCAGATCCAGGAGGCGAATAAGAACGAGAAATAGAAAACTAGGAAAACAGCGTCTTTGATAAAATAAAACGCAGCAAAATTAAGTATTTAAAATAATTTTTCCCTCCTAATGGGGCGAACGGTCGATTCGCCATTTTGAAGTGACCTTTCCCGCGGGCTCCGCCGCCGTCGGGGGCGAATGGCGAGGTCGGATTCCCGCGGGTTCGCGATCGCGCGAAATTGACGTCTCGTTCAAATTTTCATTGAAAACACGGGCTAAGAAGTCCTCGAGAGAAAGGAAATTGATGCTCGGTGACCTGAATTCTGAAAGGCAAATTCACCTCGGGAGTTTTTCCTCATCGGGAGAGAAAAAAAAAAAACGATTCCGCGAAATCCCCTTTAGTCGAAGATCGTATGCAATCCCCGGGAGCTTCCTCGACGAAGCCATCACCATACGGGATTGACGTCAGCCGATTTTTTTTTCCGGCTTTTAAATCGGACTTTAAATGTCGAGATATGCGGATAAAAATGCGAGTAAAAAAAAAAAATTATTGTACCTGATCCTCGTCAACGCCGTCGAAACTTGAAATCCGTTAGAAAATAAGAAGAAAATCCTGTCGAGAGCGCTGCCACCTTTTCTGCCATGATCTTCGAAAAACTCCCTGAAAATTCTCTTCAATTTTCTACTTTATTCGATATTTCGTCATTTCCTCCCATTTTATATTGCATTCCTTCCGGCCGACGATTTCGGCCATCTTTGCCGTAATCGAAATTAAAAAATAAAACGGACTTCGAAATTCAGCTAAACGGCGATGAATGGACTGAAGCCGTCAGCCAATGCTCGAGAATTAATTTCTGAATTCCTTATTTTCCTCTTTTATTGTTGATTTTGTCCCAATCAGGTTT